GTTTGAGGTGGTGAAAAATGTTATTTTTGGAGTAAGAAAACCTGAGGGTTTCTTGGAAAAAGCTTGAGAGCTTTGTTCCACTTCTTCTTCTACTTCTATGGAAATCTTGCGAGCTGTTTCCAACCTTCGTCTTGGCTTCTAATCTCTTTCGTCTCTCCGCAAGTTTCATTCCACCTGTATCCTTCTTCTCAATGAAAGCAAGTTTAGGTTTCTTTTATAAGTCTTGTTTGAGTCATTTGTAAGCGTCTTGTAAGAGTCTTCATATATAAAAAGAGTCTTTTAGTATTATGTTTTTAAGTGTTCTTTTTATATGAAATGTAAGAGGTTGTTCTAAAATTTCTAAGTTATCTCTCCTTTTTAGTATAGTCATGTCGTTTTCTATTTCTTAGAAAGGTCTTGTTTTTATTATAAAAAATTTGGGTCCCTCCCCAAATTTTTGATTGCATCAATTTTGGTAACAGAGCAAGTTAGGAAGTCCTAGGTTGTGGTTTGTTAAGTTGTAGTTTGTCAAATTTTATTTTGGTTGTCAAGTTTTGTTGTTGTCAAGACTGAGTTTGTTAAGTTTGTCAAAGAGTTTTATTGTGAGTCTAAGTTTAGATTATATTTTTTGTCTTTTTTTGAGTCTGTCAAAAAAAAAAAAAGGAAAACAACAAAAAAATGGATTCATTCGTGGAAGAAATCAATTCAGACAATTCTGATGTCCCACTCCCGTTGGACAGATAGATTCCTACAGAAGGTGATTCTACTGATCCGCTTCAAGACCGTTTATACAAGCTTCAGTATCACATGTTCATATGTGATCAAAAATTTGAGAAGTGGAAAAGATATCTACAACAACAATTCGAGAAGGAACAGGAAGAAATTTTAAAGAAGTTTGGTGAGAAACTCAAAGAGCTGGATGAACAATATGCGCCTCCTCGGAAGAAACCAAGAACTGACTCATCGGGAGCTGAGTCCTCAAGAAGGGGAGTCTGATGTAGGCAGGGGGTGGGTCAAATCAAATCATAATATTTGATTTTTGACTTCTCTAGCTCATTAATGTCAAGTAGTGGTGAAGCTCATTATGAGCTGATTTTTTAGTTCATTTATGAAACTAAAAAATTAGCTCATTAATTTTTAAACTTGACTTTTCTCCTTCCCCCCTTTATTCTTCTCATTTCTCTGTAATTTCACTTGCCTTGTTCTCTTCCTGTTGCCTCTTGGACTGCTGCGGATTCCCTGCTGGTTTTGAATTAATGTCCCGTGGTCCCCCTTTTACCGAATTTGTGGTGGCTGTTTGGCTAGCTGTTGGGTTCCGTGATGTACCTGCCTGGATCTGTGGCCTTTTTCCTGATTCTTTTGCTGTGCCGTTTGGGATTTCGGTATAGTAACTGTTGGCCTTTCATTCCCTCATTTATGTATGGATTTGAAGAGGTTTTGGGGCTGTTTGTATTCGTCTTTTATGCCTATATATAAAAGATGTTTGTGGCTGTTTGAGGTGGTGAAAAATGTTATTTTTGGAGTAAGAAAAACCTGAGGGTTTCTTGGAAAAAGCTTGAGAGCTTTGTTCCACTTCTTCTTCTACTTCTATGGAAATCTTGCGAGCTGTTTCCAACCTTCGTCTTGGCTTCTAATCTGTTTTGTCTCTCCGCAAGTTTCATTCCACCTGTATCCTTCTTCTCAATGAAAGCAAGTTTAGGTTTCTTTTATAAGTCTTGTTTGAGTCATTTGTAAGCGTCTTCTAAGAGTCTTCATATATAAAAAGAGTCTTTTAGTATTGTGTTTTTAAGTGTTCTTTTTATATGAAATGTAAGAGTTTGTTCTAAAATTTCTAGGTTATCTCTCCTTTTTAGTATAGTCATGTCGTTTTCTATTTCTTAGAAAGGTCTTGTTTTTATTATAAAAAATTTGGGTTCCTCCCCAAATTTTTGATTGCATCAATCTCTTGGGCAACCTGATATATATTCAGTTGTTGTAGTTGACAATTCAATGTAGTGACTACTGATCATGAGATGCAGGATATCAATAAAAACACAATCATCTAAGGTTGAAATGATTGATTCCTTATTTATGTCGATAGCAAAAAATGATGATGATGGCATAATCAAGGAGTTGTCCACTAATTCTTATATGAGTTCTCGGAAGAGAAAGCCAGATTAAATCATTATGGAGTGAATGAATCTCAGTTCAACTAGGTCCTGAACATTGAGTTGGATAAGTTCATTGAGGCTTGCAGTTCCTCGATGAGTAGTGTTCGTGCATCCACCACACTATCCACAAGTAAATGCTGAAAAGACTATGACAAAACAAACTTCTAAGAGCCATCATAAAAGACTCGTCAAATATCCAATATGCTCCATCGCACATGCACCGTAGTTTGTATACACAGGTACACAAAAGGGGTAAATATAATCAAACACCCGCATGGGCCCCGACGAGCGTGTTGTAGGATCACACGTGACGTCTAGGGATGCTGCGCGGATCAACAAATTTGAATCCGATCCTCTTAAGCATGTAAATAAGAGTCGACAAGGTTCAACAAATATTTATAAAATGCCCCCAAACTCCAGCATGGGCCTCGGCAAGGGTGTTAAGGGTACACACGTGGCATTTAGGAATGCTGTGCAGGTCAATAAATGATCTTAATTTGAGCCCGCTCATTCTATATGGATAGATAGGATTCGATAAGGCTCTAATTATCAAACAGATATACGGTCAAGGCGTCTACTATAATATCTATTTTATACGTTCATATAAAGTCTTCAAGGCCTATGAATAAAGAAATTCATTAAATAAAATCATACAACCGATAAACCCGATCCCCTATCGGAAAATTAATAGGGTCGACAAGGTTTAGTCAATGGAAATGCCTGTACACCTCGATGATGGCCGTATTGAACGCATATCTCAATTGGAGGGGTTGATTCCAACATTCAAAGCTCCACCCAATTACCCACGAAAATCCAAAACTCCACAAAATATCAAATCCAAAAATTTAAAATCAGAATTTAACCATTCAAGCGCTTAAAGCAAAATTCATCCACCCTCCGCAACAGTTTGCTGATTGGACAAATTAAAAATTATTTTAGCTCACATAGAGCTAATGCCAAGTCGAAAATATCACTAGGATCCATTCTCAAATAGTTTCCTGCAGTACATATGTGGTACGTGTCATCTGACCGACAGTTTTGCTACTATATGCTAGATAATGCGTATTTCTACATATCTGATCGACAACTAGCCTTAATCAAAAGTTCTCTCTTGTTATCGGGAGGGGTAATTAACTATAGGGGCTTGCGCCTATAGAAAACCAGAACTCAGATCATAAAGTCCTCCCAAAACGAGGGCGAAATCTCTAGGTAGTGTCTTATCTATAAATCCATCTGCCTTCCAAAATTTACCCCAGAACTATTTCGTTAAAACTCCCACGAAAAAAGCAAACAATAGTACGGGCGGAGGCCGGAGCCGAATTTTTGGAGCGCACAACCTCAACACCAATAAGGAGAAGTATCACCAAATAGTGGAAAAATTGATCTACCTATCTCACACATGCCTAGTCATGTCCTCTGCAGTTAGTATCATTAGTCAATTTATGCATCACCTTAGTGAAAATCATATGGGTGTTGTAGTTTGGATAATCTGATACTTAAAATTAGCCTCAGGAAGGGGACTCATGCTTTCAAAGAATGGACGCTTGGATTTTCTAGAGTATACAAATGCTGATTGGGCATGGAACACATTTGATAGAAAATCTACTTATGGCTACTTCACATTTGTGGTTGAAAATTTGGTAACCTGGAGAAGCGAGAAGCAAAATGTACTAGTGTTGTCCTTTGTAGAAGCTGAGTTTCAAGGAATGACATGTGAGCTATGTAAACTATGGCTGAAGAAACTTCGAACTGAAATTGGGTTCATTCTATGAACTGAAATGAGAATTTATTATGATAATAAGACTACAATCACAATAGAACATTATACAGTTCAACACAACTACACCTAGCATGTGGAGGCATATAAACAATTTATTAAACATAACTTGGGTGAAAGGGATAATCGCTAGATTAGAAGGGTAAATTCTGGATATACTCACAAAGGGTCTATCCAGTAAAGAATTCTTGAGCTCACTTGACAAGTTGGGCACTTAAGACATCCATCTTGAGGAGTATTGGCATGAGCACAAACAATTCATTTACTATATATAACTGATTTGGAAAGATTTGATCTATAGGATTCTAAATATCTAATGCATTCAAATTATAATATAATATGTGTAATTTATTCCCATGTGTTTGTTTCTATGTTTTTCCAAGTCGATGAGAAGATTCCTTTTAAACAGACCTTGCCATTTCTGTACATGTAACTTTTTTTATTTTCTGTAAAGATAAAGAAGATTAATATATAGAGAAATTTCTCCCTACTCCTTTCTGCCTTTCAGCTTCCCTGTGGAAGCTTCCTCATGGCAATTTTACTGTAACAGAGGTAAAATTTGCTGCTTTTGATGAAAGTAGAAAATTGTAAAAAATTAATTTGGCTTAAAGGATAGAAGTTAATGGCAATAAAATGAATGATCATGAAATCCATACAAGCGATTGAAATTTTGTGAGAAAATAAATAAAATTATAAGAGGTTTGGTAATAATAAATTGCACTTTTAACCAACAAAATAAAAGAAGAGATGAAGAGAGAGAGAGAGAGAGAGAGAGAGAGAGAGAGAGAGAGAGAGAGAGAGAGAGAGAGAGAGATGGAGGGAAACCCAGTGCTTGGGTTTAGTTTGACGTTTTTGTTAGCCAATGTTTGTATATAGGTATTCCTTTATTTTGTTTTATATTATGTTTGTTTTTCTTTCTGTGTTGTGCACTTCCATTTAAAGGTTAGGTGGTGGTTCAACTTTTTGTATATCACTATTTTACGAGAATTATCATTCAAATTGCTCTTATATTATAATAATGCTCGCATTAATCAACATAAATAATATTGTATTATCCTTCATTTTCTTTCTTTTCTTCTCCCTTCAAATTGTAGGTTGCCCTAGAACTTACAGAAAATGAAAGATATCAAATTCAAAGAATGGAAGATGCAGGCCGGTATGTTGTTATTTCAAGAAAACGCATAGTTCGTGATACATTCTGCACATTAATAGTTTTGTGTTGTGGACATTTTTTTTTATCCTATTCATGTAGTCAGACTGGAGGATTCGTTTCCTGGCACCCTGTTATAGCACAACTAAACGACCACATGGTTCATTATCATGTCATTAATCATATCAAGTTATTATAATCCATATGAATTATTTAATTGCTTAGAATGCCAGCACTGCTTATTCTTAATGGATATTTTATTTTATTTTATCATTTAACCTTCATCCATTTTCAATGGACGTGTTCTCTATAATACTTGTAAAATTTATGTCATGATCTAATGCACCAGAAAAACTGTTTAAATCAATCTATTATTGTGTTTTAAGTAATTACAGAGAACTCATTCGCTACATTGACATTAGCAAGCAGACGCAACAGTTCATAGATAATACATTTTATTAACTTGCATTTAAAATGAGGAACAAAAACCACCTGTTATCTATCTGAACTTTCATCATATCATGCAGTTTCAGTTCTTGGCCAAAATTTTGAGATATGATCCTTTCATGTGTTTATTTATTTTTGTATGTTGAATTGTTCTACATTATTGTTTCTCTTACAGGCGTGTTTGTTGGTTGTGTTTTTATTTCCAGTTATTTATTTATTTATAGAAAAATAGCTACTTATGTTAGGAAACATGTTTTGGTAACTATTTTTGTTTTTTATTTTTGAAAACCAATTAGCATGTTTACAGACATTTAGAAGATACTACATGAGGGGTTCATTTGTTTTCAAAATATCATGAAACAAATACACATTCAAATATGTTTCTATTTTAATCGAAAATAAAAACAAAATAACAAAATACAATAAAATAGCAAAATAAACGCTAGCACAAGCAAAAATGCCATAATTTATTCCTACTTAAATTCTTGTTCCAACCATGTAGAATGGTTCTTGCATATCTAGACTTCTGGATCTCATTTATATTGCAATATTTTTTCTTAGTGCAATGCCTATGATGAGCAATAGCTGTTACTATTTCCATTTTTAATTACCTGATAATCTAGTTATAACTAATCTACTACTTCTTGGTTTTAGCGATTGCATTATTACCCTTAGACAATGCCTTGCAAATCACTGTCTATGGTGACCTCATAACTCCCAATTTTGAGCCAATGGATGTTGCGATAATCCATGTCAAATTATTTATTTTAGTAGATCAGAGAAGTCCTGCATTGCTATAGTACTTTTATCCTTATTTCAAGATTAGACTTTTTGCATGCAAGGTATTAAATGTACCCTATGATTCTCAGCCTAGTCAAATGCTCAACTGTTTTAAATTTATTATGTTTGGTGCTGCTGCTTCAGTATAAAATCAAATGATTATCAGCCATTTGTGTGAGTTTGGCTTTAAAATGTATATTTGTGATAGCCTTACACATTAAAATATTGACCAGATTGAGATTTTCCTTAGCCTTGGAAAGACTTAAAATCCTGGTACAGTAAACCATTATTGGAATTGTACCCTGGAAGTGTTGCTCCTTATGCAAGCATGCCTTGTGATAATATGGTCTTGACATAGCCCGCATTGATCCCTGGATTCATCCCGAGAAGCTTAGGTATCAGGCTATGTAGAGGGAGTGGTTGCAAACAGCTGTTGCTCTATCCCATACTGGTCCCATGACAGGGTCTAGGAACTCCGAGTATCGCGGTAGTAATAGATGGTTGGATGAAGTTTTTAAATCTTATTTAGAATAGTTTATATAATTTTCTTATTAATAACTTTCAATATTTCGAAAGAGCCACTAAATCCAAAATTCATTCTAAACCAAATATATATCAGGTCTATATACAAATTCTTTTCTCCTACTCATTTCATTCTCAAGCTTTTGTCCTGAAAATTAGAGAGAGAGAGAGAGAGAGAGAGAGAGAGAGAGAGAGAGTTCTCCTTACCTAAGCCACCTCCATTCCCGCCGACTACAATGACCCCTTTGTCCATCTAACGCCTCCTCAGATCGATCTCCTACCAAACTAGCCCTAGGCCGAACCGAACTCCACAGTCGATCTCCCTCTGTCTGCATTTGAGCCTAGCCGAATCCAACCCCAAGCCAAAGCCGAACTCACCTTCCCTCTTCTTGATCCGAAGCCAGAGCTCTTGCCCGACATCCCTCTCTGCCTTGGCTGCAAGATCCACCTACCCGACCCCTTAGTTGATTAGGTATTTATTTTATATTATTATTATTATAGTTATGTAATACTGATGATAATATTAATAATAATGGTTATTATTACCATTATTATTATTATTATTATTATTATTATTTAATTATAATTATTTACTATAATAATTAATTATAATTATTATAATTAAATATTTTAATTATATTTAATTTATAATAATAATTAGTTTTAATTAAAATAAATTTTAATTAATGTTTAATGTTACTATGGTTAATTATTTTTATTAATAATTAACTATAATTACTTAAAATTAATTATATTTAATTATTTTAATGTAAATTAATTAGTATTAATTATAATTAATTATTTTTAAATTATAATTAATTATCATTAATTATAATTAATTATAATTAATTAGTTAAAAAAAACCAAAATGATTCTTTTTCTCGTGTCTTGCAACGGGTCGGCAAATCCCCTACGTGCTCACGTAGCGTTGTAGGGAGGGAAACCGGCGCAGCGCTTGCGGCGACTTAAGAATCCCTCTTCAATGTTAGCAACGAGCCGACAAACCCCTTACGCGCTCATGTAGCATTGTGGGGAGGGAAATCGTTGCGGAGCTTGCAGCGAGGGGGATAAAAGAAATAAATATATACATATATATTTTTATATAAGTACCCCAAATGCTCACGTAGTGCAGAGGGGGGAAATCTGTGCTTATTTCTAACATTTGCTTTCTTTTTGTAATAATAAAAAAAATCCTTAAACGCTCACGTAGCGGGCGTGGATAAAAAAAATTTGCAATCGCGGTGTCTTTTGACACCTACTTGAAGCGCTCAGGTAGTGTCGAGGGGAAGTTTGCCCCTTGATTTTTCCCCTTAACGGGGGAGACGCCGGGAGGTTGCCGAAATTTGGATCGAAGATCCAAGGACTTGGAACTACGCTCAGAACTCAAATCAAATGACTAAAGGAGGGCTTGAACTTAAATAAATTGAAAGAACTAAGCCTAAACCATATGCAAAAGGGGTGAAATTCAAATGAACCTGAACTCAAGTGAACTTGAGTTTGATACTTGAACTTAAACTAAGGATTTGTTGGCATGCATTTGAGCTTGGTTTGAACCAAGTGAGAGGGACTCATGAACTTGAAAATGACATAAAGAGCTTTAATTCAATTTGAATCTAAATAAAAAATACAAAAGGATATACTATAATTTGAACCTCATGATTTGAACAATCATGAGGACTTGTAATTTGACCAAGGAGAACTTGAATCAAAGCTCAACCAAAAGAAATTCATTCAAGCTTGACTTGAATAGTTGAACTCAAGCAAAGAGTTTGTACTTTGATTACAAAGGACTTGGACTCGAATCCATAAGAGAACTATAAGGAGCATAAGCCAAACTAGAACTTGGGTACCACATGAAGCTTTATACAAGAGAGCTTAAACTCAACTTTATGGAATGGGGCTTTAACTTAGCAAATACTTCATTATATCAATGTGAATGTTAAAGACCTAAATCTTTCTAATGGATACCAATAATCAAAGAAAAGGCTTGCGGATTTCGACATATCATGCTTATAATTGATTTAAGCTAATTGCCATAAAAGATTGAATGAAGAATGTAATGATATGACCATAATCGACAACAAAGAATCTCATTGAAGTATCAAGGGATCAATATGTCAATCAACATACAAATATTAATAAAGGAAGTTACCACACAAGATTTGAATCATCTCCCATAATAATGAAAGATCTGCATTACATATGAGTCGTCTACGAATACAAATGTATGTACAATATCCACCCTTGAGTAGATGTATAAAGACTACAGTAAATGCAGTATCCTGTATCAACTTCAGTCTAAGGATGAATACATCTACCTCCAGCAGTAGTGGATGTATTGTAAAGACCAAAATCATAGCAGAATGCATAAAGAATATAAGTTCCTACGAGCTTCTACAACCCGAGGCAGGAGATTAGTTAGTGTGCTACGATCCACCTACATAAAATCACAAGTAGTGCACGACAATCTACCTGTACAAAACAACAAATAATTCAATTCACAAACTGCTACGCCACGCCACCGGATCCGCAACTTCTATGCAAGCGGATAGAAGGCGTCTACAAATACTTTCAAAGTATCCCATGCACTATAAATTGTATACACATAGGTACACTAAAGGGAAAAATATATTCTCGACCTGCATGGTCCCCGACGAGCGTGTTATTGGTACACACGTGACGTCTAGGGATGCTGCGCGTGTTATTAAATTTGAACTCGATCATTCTAAGTAGATTAAAGGAGTCGACAGGGTTCAATTTCAAAACGGCCCCAAACACCCGCATGGGCCCTGACGAGTGTGTTATTGGTACACACGTGACGTCTAGGGATGCTGTGCGGGTCGATGAGTGAATTCAAGTTCGAACCCGATCCTTCTATACGGATCAATAGGAGTCAACAAGGTTCTAACTATGAAACAAATATGTGGTCGTGGTGACCAGAATATTTGTTTTATTACATTCATATTAGACCTTCAAGACCTATAACAATATGAATTCACTAACAAAGACATAAAACCTACGAAATCCGATCCTCTGTCGATAACTCGGTAGAGTTGACAAGATTCAATCCATAAAGAGAAATGACCCCAAATACCTCGATGATGGCCGTGTTGAATGCAGATTTCAACCGTAGGGGTTCCCAAACATTTTCAAATGTCTCCCAAATATCCAAAATTCATTTCAAACAATTCAAAGCTCCACCCAAATACAAAAAAAACCCAAAAATCCAAAATCATTCCAAATTCCAAAGATATTTA